TTTTGGAAATAAATAATCTGTCCCTGAAAATGTTGAAAATAAATAATCTGTCCTCCACTACAGAGAAAATAAATAATCTGACCTTGACTTCTGATAATTAAATATTGTAAAAATACCTTTTTTATTTACGTGTACTGTAATTTAATCTCAAAAGTCTTCAATTCAAATTTTTTTTGGGCTCGCTTCGCTCGCCATTTTAGAACCAAACAATATTTAAAATCAGATTACCAGACTGGATACTTAAGTCAGTTTATCAACATGACAATGTGCACTCAGTAGGTGTGAATAACTTTAAACACAAACCAATTCTTATACACCACAAAAGATCAATTTTCTTGTCGAATAATTATACTTTTCAGATAAATTAATACAAAATATACACAGGCAGATTTAAGGGGGACGTACATGTGTATGACCTCGGGGCCTCCCTTAAATTTTCAAAGTATGATACGAATAATAATGATAATGCCATATTTTGGGACAATACCAATATTTTTGTGCTTAGTTTTACTCTTAAAATACACAGAAACCCAAGAGCTTCAGGGGGCTTCGCCCTTAGGCCCTTTTCATTCAAAGTACGATATGACTTAATAATGTCATACTTTGGTACACATCTAACCAATTCCTACAAAAGTTTTACTCTTATACATATTGAAAAACCCAAGAGCTTCAGGTGGCTTTGCTCCCTGAACTTACTTCATTCAAAGTACGGTATGATCAGTATTAGTAATGTCATTCTTTGGTTCATAATAACCAATACCACTATAATAGTGCCTGGTTTTACTCTTAAAATACACGAAAACCCAACAGCTTCGGGGGGGGGGGGGTACTCCCTTGGCCTCCACCAGGGCTTCGCGCAGGACCCACAGGGGCCCTTACGGCGGCCCCAGACCTCTTGCCTGAACAAAGTTATACCTGTCCCCTCCCCAAATCCTGTAGCCGAATATGGTATATAAATGATTAGTCTTTTAGAATCAATTGCTCAAGGTACGGTAAGACATAAAAGAAAATAAATAATCTGTCCTTGTAAATCTTGAAAATAAATAATCTGTCCTCGACAGGCATGAAAATAAATAATCCATCTCAAAAAAATTTGCCAGCCCCCCCTCAGAATCAAATGGTCGTCCCCTTATTATATCTGAAACGATGGTCTCTTGTGGCCATCCCTGTTCACGACATCTTTGTATCCACGGTAGTGCTGAAGTAGGCCAATGGTGTGACTGGAAACAGTACGCATTGTCCGCTTCTGTATATTGGAACACAGAATATGTAGCACAAGGTCCGTGGGGGACAGCAGTAGGGATTGGGAAATTACAGGTCTTTAAATGTTGCAAATGGTGATCTCTGAATAATGAACTTGAAATAAATACTTTGTTAATCATTGCTACGCAGGAGAAAATGATTTCTGCATTATTTGATTGACTCAAGAGTTTAAGTCTGGTAAATCCCGGTGGTAAACCATCACAATCCATCAGGATCACAGTGTGGTGTGGGGAACGGTAGAGACTGATCTGAGAGGGATCACATATCACTTTGTGTTCTGGGTACCATAACATCCAATCAATATCAGAAGTACTCAGCCTGAATCCTTCACGTCTACTCCCACTTATCATCCTATCAAAGCCCCTCATGATGTACACAGGTTCACTCACCAATTCCACATTGTCCTGAACTTCTCTCCTGATCCTCACTTCTGTTGGACTCCCTATTTCATGACACAGTCCTATATATACAGCCTCTGACCGGCGAGGTATGTGATCCATTACTATATGTTATAAAGGAATCAGACAGCAAATACGTGTATCTGAAACATGAGGAATTATAAATCAATGTTTTCTGCTTTGTGTGAATTTCTTCATAATTTATTTATAGTGTTTATTGATTGACCATTCAATTACTTTCCATTGGTTATTTTGTGTTTGAGACACAGTAAACAAATCATTTTAATAAAAAAGCAACTTAACATATATGTCAAAATACTTTTTTAAGATTGATCAAATGATTTATACATTTATTAGTATTTTACGAGATTAATTTAATCCTTGTTTCAAAACATAAATTAAGTCTATACCGTAACCTTTTTATCCAAGGATAAATATGACATAATTAGTTCTAATAAGATGAAACCATTTTGGAGTACATTTATTTCTAAATACCATTCTATGACATACAATAGAGTACTTTGGATAAATGTTAAAATGCAGTATGACAAGGGGCACCTGATTAAATACATTTTTCTTTACTCATATAATTCATCTGTATGCAGGTATCAATCAATTTTGTTTATTTTAAATCTACAGGATATATATGATCCGTAGATAAACATATCGATGAGCGTAATAGTAGAAGGTGACAAACAGTATACAGACTCGTAGATAGGGGATCGAGCGTAATAAGGAATGTTAGAGATTACGAAATTGTGGCAGTTTTTGATTAAAGACGTCGTAATAAATATTTCAACTAGACTTACCTATTTCCCTTGAAAATGACCGAACTACAAGTATTCATTTAAAACAATAACAAATGTTCACCCAAATTTAACTTTCGGTTTGTTAAGTGACGTCTTTACCAGTACTCTTTTTCTGACTATCAATGACACATCGTTATTGTTAGCAAAATCAATGGTTTAAATAAAAGGTCACGTTACCTTTAAATACAATGGATGCGATTTAATATTTGACTCAATATCAAAAGAAACACATTGGACCATTTCATTTAATTACATTGTACATGTATTTCGGTTTAAATAGACAAATATAAAGTTATGGTTAACTTTGGAAAACTTTGTGTAAATTGTTTTTTTATGAAAGATGATAGTGCTTTGTTGTCGTCTGTTAAAAATTAAAGTTTAAAATTGCTGCCATGAATCATATACGGTGGCTTAATTGTACCTTTTTAACATTGAATTTTACATGCTGCTTTTTAAGTTTATAGCTTTTGTATTGCTAAATAGAACGAATAATGATACAATCAGCGATCCATCAGAAAACTACTTCGAACAAGACAATCTTGATGCAGAAAACTATTGTAGAGACGGAATAACACGTCATAGGGTTGACAAAATATTACGAGGTCTTATTTTATATGAAAAGAAAGGCCTTTCAAACATAAATGTCAGCATAAAATAATTTTATCTAAAAGTATCATAAAAATATCAGCAAATCATATTCTTATAAGATGGATATGGAGATAACAAACAGTATTTAATCTCCAGTTCTTTAAAACAATGCAAAACAGGAGCAGGGCAAACATGGACCTCCGAGATACAGAGGTGGGATCAGGTTCCATGGAGGAGTGAGCATCCTCTGCCGACCGGTCACATCCGCCGTTTGCTCCTTGTCATGATCGGGAAATAACGTAAAACATCATTTGTCAATATAGTGTATAAATAATTGACTTACAATTAGTATGAAAAACGTCAGTCAGCATTAAATGATTAATGATAAGTTGTATTTGTTGACAAGGTCATTGTACCGACCACTGAACTTGCGAAATGATGACTTTAAACGAGACTGCCGATATTCTTGTTTCATCAACTTGCTTGTCAATAATTTACCTCTTTATAGAAATTGTCACATAGAGCATGCTGTTGCGTATCGAATCTTTGAGATATATATACTCCTTATGCAAGTGATGAAGGTATATTGCTGCATAAGTAAGGGAAGTTGACGATAGAAATGATCAGGTCATCACGTTAATCATATGGCTTGGTTGTAAAATTACCATTTTCTGTTTTTTCAATTAAAAATCAAGTATGAAACAGATGTGTTAAACTCAGTGGCATCTTTTATCTCAAGTGGCATCTTTTATCTCAAGTTCACCAGGATACCAGTCTATCGTATCGACATAGGAATGGAAATTACTATCCTTAATTGACAATACGTCGTCGATATATCTAAATGTCGATTTGAAGGCCACATCAAGTGTTGTCTTGATATTTATTTCAACGATGCATGATTTTTGCTCTTTGCAGATGAACACTTAGAAGATTACTGACTTTTTTGGTGATTGAAATTTTTAGCGGACTATCATCAAAACGCAAAAATGTGCAAAGATTAGCAACCTCTAAAATAACCAGCTATACGGTAGCTCACATATGATTCGATACACAAGAGATTTTTTTTTACACATAAAAAATATATACCATTAAGTCGATGAAACAATTTTTTAAATATTTTCCTTTAAAGTAATCAATTCGCAAGTTCGATCTATGGTCGATACAATGACTTTGTCAGCAAATACAATTTATCATTTAGTCCACTGTTGACTGACTTTCTTCATACTTTTTGTTATTCCATTAGTTATACATTGAATTGACAAAGAATTTTTCCGCTATTTCCCCTTTCTGACAATGAGCACACGGCTGGTGTCACCGGTCGGCAGGAATGATCATTCCTCTTCATGGCACCTGATCCCACTTCTGATGTTTTGAAGGTCCAGTTTGCTCTTCTTCCATCTTGTATTTTTTATGAACTTGAGGACTGTTATCTCCAAAAAGTTTTTCATAAGGACAGAACGAATTTTTAATACGGTGCTTAATATAAAGTTAATAGATTCTAAATACTTAGAAATTGATATATGTATGTTTTGTATTTACAAATCCCGGTAAATAAAATCAATTAAGCTAACTACTTGTGTATATACCCTAACAAAAATGCTATTATAAAATCAAAGTTAAAAAAATTTCACTATAGTAAATCAAAGTTTTTACCATAGTGAACCAATGTTTTCACTGTAGTAAATCAAAGTTCAAAGTTTTTCCTATAATATTAAATCAAAGTTCCAAAGTTTTAACTTTGGTACTATAGTTAACAATAATTTTTTGTAAGGATATATGCTCTATCATTTAAATTGTAAACTAGCAGCCTAATCAAATCGTAATTTATTATATCAATTGATTGTTTTCTCAAATGTGAATAACATGTTTTGGTCTTATCAAAATATAAATAGTTCAACGTATAGCACTGACCTCAAAGATAGCAAGTGTTTCGCACTACTTAGAGACCGACATTACAATGCAACAAACGTTTTTGTTGACCTTTTGTGGATTTACTTTTGTTTTCATAGTTTGTAGCAGTGAATCTGAGAAAAGATTGTTAATTACAGACCAGAATGTTGTCCAAACCTTGACAGAAGAACTCAGGCTCCTTAAAACAAAGTTTACAAAACTAGAAAACGCTCAAACTCGTCTTATGTCCGACCTAAATAAAGGTATGTTTTGCTTAGGTTCTTTTGAATCCTATGTTGGAGTAAAATCCTTGATTTCAAAACCCGACACAAAAGAATTTTAAAGAATCGATCATGCGATTTCAAAAAAATTTAATGTAAATTTGTATGACTAAAACCAAGATGTTCAGCAGGCAGGGCCGTATACACGAGATGGGGAAAAAAGACCTGTCCTTCTTTCAATGAGACCAGTATTGTCTATTCAGGTAAGAATTATTGTCTGTATATTGATTAACGTCCCTCTGGAGAATTTTCAATCATATGGAGACGTAACTACTTGCCGAGATGGAGAGCTACAAATCTTTTCCCATACTCGACACTCAGGGTCATTGAGCTGGAAGGGATCTTTTTTTTTCTTTATAAACGTAACAAAAACCAAAATTGCTGTATGAATTTAAAATACTCTGAAATCACAACTTTCCTTTTTGGGGGTGAGTGGGGGGGGGGTAATTTTCGTTGTTTTCGAGGGATCAAGAGATCCACAAATTTATGCCCATCACGAAATGTAAATATTCTACTAGACGGGTCTTTATTTACGAAATTAAATCCCCATGAACCATCATTTTTCCTCAAACCACGAACATATGACCTTCCGAAAATATGCGATTTAACAGTAATCAATTTACCAGTTTATAATCAACATACATTTTGTGTCATTGGATTTTAATCCATATCTATTTCTTATAATGATATTGGAACATTAAAACAGTAACAAAATCTCTAGTACGAAGGTTTATCCAAAAGTAATGTAACATCGTCAATATAATTGCTACAAATCAACATGAAACATCAACATTTTAAATGACGGAAGCAATATTTACTTTTTATCAGACCTGAAAATTTAAATTTTACATGATTTATATTAGTTAAAATATGGCAACATTAAAAATACACGCTTGTCTTTTGACATTATCAAACACCAGTTTAACTTTTCCGCCCGACCTCTCAACGTTCGGTCGCCTTATCCCTTTGTTCATCATTCAATACCCATCATCATCATGAGTTCCCTGAAAGCATCCATAAATAACACTCTAATTTACATTTTTCACCCTGAGTCTTTTTAATGAACTCTATATACTGGTAATGTCCCCGTTTTGAAGTAAAAATGCATTACAGTTCGTTACATGGTTTTATTCCCCATCTGACAATTTCTTTGGTCAATGCATTCAAGTATATAACGCAATGTTTATAATGAGAAATAGCATTTGATTTTTAACTACTCATTTAGAAAATTAAATTATTTTTGTCTTCTCAAAATTGTGGGTGATAAGCAGCGTTTTAGACTTTTCTTATGTGTTTGTCTTTTTATTCTTAACAATATTCTATAAAACCTGACATTTAGTTGTGATGTGGACGACTACTGCTTGATGCTAGAAACATACAAATAAACATATATATATTTAACATTATAACACCGAAATTTGAAAGTTATTTAAGAAATACAAGGGGCCTCTCGGTAGATTTGATCACGTACCAACTAAAAGTTCATTCCCCAGTAAACTTTTTAACATTGTTGTTTATTACTTATATTTAATTTTAGGACGAATAAATTTCTAGTAAAACTGCATTTATTACACGAACGCCACCATAGCTATGTTATGACGCGCAATGACCTAGAAGTTGTTTGTTCTAGGAACTTCACTTTACCCCCATATTTGAATTTTTACATTCATGTTAAGCAGTCCAGTTCAGGAAATATCTGTATATAGTAAAAGAACAATGATCGCTGCTGAGAATAATCTTTTTCATATGTTCTTACAATATTTGAAGTCAAAAGCGGTGGTATCGCCTGTTTAAGTTGACATAACTTCAAAGGAATACCGGGTTAAAAGGTAAGTGCGGTTTTAGGCTATTTAGAGTTTTCAAAACCTTATTCACATCGAAAGAAATTTATTGTGCATCTCGTGATTGAAAAATGTCTACATTGTTTATTATTTTCTCCTTTTCTTCGTTATTAAGTTAGAAATATTCCAAAACAAATCGCATCGTGATAGAAATATGTACACAAATTATCATCTCGCTCTGTGATTCAGTCGCACTATGACCTCTGACCCCCAAATAACATTCACACAGAATTGAACATATTTTCTCTTCAATAGGTTCAGCTAGGAAAGATATTTGCAAATGTAAATATTTAAATTTATTTATGTGTATATTTTGCTGTAGGCCTATTATATTTAAAAATTTGACGACAAATATAAAAGATATGTGACATTACCCTTGGATCAACGCTAGTACAATTTTAAATACAAATATAGGTGCCTTTACCCAATCAAAAGATTAAGGTTCATGATGAATGTGACCGATCAACATGAATGCTTACTCTTTCATGGCACCTCATCCTACTTTTAAAAAATCCAGGGGGTATTTGGAAGTTCTTTCATTCTTTGCATCGTTTGTTTGGACTTCTTATGATAACCAATATTTGTTGTTGTTAAAACTTATAAATAATCACCTAAGAAATGAAAGGAAATATAAAATGTTTGTAGGTATTACCGGTGGAAAGGCTTATTATCAAAAGGGAAGTGGTGTCACAACATTGTGTCTACCCCACGATCCAGAACCTGTGCCGACCGACTTTCCGACTCGTCCATTTTCAGATGAAGAAGGTACACTTTGGGGAAGTGAATATCAATTCAGCTTTCGTAAAATTGCACATGATGATGACGTGCCATGCGCTGTTTGCCAAGTAACGTCCCAAACTACCATAATGATACCTGCTAAGCGAACATGCCCCACTGGTTGGAAGAAAGAATACTCTGGCATTTTGATTGGCACCAATGCACAGGATTATCCATCTGAATATATTTGTATGGATGAAAATCCAGATTTCTTTGAGGGAACCCGCAGTCATGATGATAATGGACGAACTCTTTATCCGATCAGGACGGTATGTGGTAGCCTCCCATGTCCACCTTACGGAAATCATCAGTTTGTTTCATGTGTCGTTTGTTCTCAATAAATCAAAGACATGTGCACACTTACTACTGAGACTTGATGTTCTATATCCTTTTACTATGCATCTGTTACTGTCTTCCTTGGATTGATTGTATATTGTTTAACGTCCCTCTCGAGAATTTTTCACTCATATGAAGACCGAGGTCATGTCACCGAGTGGACCTGATTGACCTGGTTTTGTAAGAAGGGTATGGAGATTACGAACAGTATTCAATATCAAAGTCCATAAAACAATACAAATTAGAAGCAGAGCAAATAAACACCTCCAAACATCAGAGGTGGGATCAGGTGCCATTGAGGAGTGAGCATCCCCTGCTGACCGGTCACATTCGCCGTGTGCTCCTTGACATGATCGGGACATAGCGTAAAAATCCGTCGTCAATTCAAAGTACATGTATAAATAATGGACTAAAAATTACTATGCAAAACATCAACAACTGACAAAATGATGACTTTAAAGCTGACAACACAGACAATACACAATTCTAAAATTTTATGCAAGTAAATTGTCTAAGAATTTTGATTCTAGGACATAAATTCAAAAAAAGAGAAATTGCATTTTTTTTCAAGCTTTGTCATTCAGATGATTGTGGATATTGACCCGATTGACATGGGAAAATAATAGCTCACAGGTAGAAATGCACGGCACACTGCGAGCGGAAATACCAGAGTTATCTTGTATAAAGCAATTTTCTTTCGCTGTCTCAGGAAAGGTATTAAAAATTTCAGATACTAACTGAAGATGATTCAGCTGCTGAACTTCGTAATTTAAGATATTAATGAAATCAAGCTTCAACATATGAGCACTTTCTTGAGAACTACATGTAAGAGATGTTGACGTTGTAATCACAACCTTTTGTAAAACACTACATATTTCATGCAGTGACACATATCTAGAAAATTTTTGATAGAGTTTTCATTTTGTGTCAACTTATGAACATTATATGACGAGCTTTAACACCTTTCTTATCAAATTTACCTACGCAGGTGACACGGATAAAGTGATTTGTATAGATGTGCAGCAGTTGAGCTTTTAGTGAAACGGTTTTCATGAAACTCCTCGTGTATTATGCCAAACTGGAATATTATCGTACCATAAGCTTTCATGGTCTTTAAACTTCTTTTTGGGCCCAAAAGCTGTCGCAGCTTGCATTCAGTATAAATAGATATTTCTTCAACCTTAAAACTGGGCATTTTGACATTCTTGATTGAAAAAAAAAAACAGAAATACTAAATTAAAATTATCACATTCTTGATAATTTTCTAGGAAAGTTTCAGATTTCTATTTTTTAAAGCAAAATATTTGATTGATTACCATAAAATATCATAATACTATACCTGGCATTTCATATATTCTACCATACGAAATCACCAACATTTGGACCCTCTAATTTTTATGTCTCCTGCTTGGCAATGTTTATGTCAAATCGCCTGCCATTGGGGTCAGTTGACGAGTTTGAAGTTCTTCACACATCTTAAGATTTCACGCCACACGTATGAAACATAATGTCCAGGAACCCTTTATACTGTAAACTTTGTAGTTCAGTCATATTGACGGTCCCCGATGTGTAGAACTTTTCAAAATCTGCAGCTCTTATCACTTCTTTATGCTGTACAGTTCTCTTTTCCAATCTTTTTTTCTCAGTCAACACAGTCAAAAACATTTTGTTGGCCAAATAAAAGTCAACATTGTTAACAATATCAACTTTCTATGTGTCAAAAATGTGTTTATACCCCGAATCTTATTTTTGTATCATTGACGTTTTTGAATACAGGTCCCTATTCTTAAGAACTTAAGAAGCTTCTTTCTTTTTATCTTAGTTTGGGATTAAAACGGTCTGGGAAAATTTAAACACCGAAAAAATACAATGTTTAGTGTTAGCACTGTCTTTTTAGCTCACCTAAGCCGAAGGCTCAAGTGAGCTTTTCAGAACAAAATGTGTCCGTTGTCTGTCGTTGTTGTTGTAAACTTTTCACATTTTCATCTTCTTCTCAAGAACCAATGGGCCAATTTCAACCAAACTTGGTCGCCCGCGTGGCGCAGTGGTTAGAGCGTCTGCTCTAGAGTCGCGAAGTAAAGATTCAATCCTTACGTCGCGGGTTCGAATCCCACTGCGGGACGTGGACACCGGTCCTTCGGATGAGACCGTATAAACCGAGGCCCCGTGTCGCAGTAGGTGTTGGCACGAAAAAGATCCCTCACTGCTCAAAGGCCCTAAGTGCCGAGCATAGGACAAAATTTGTAGCCCTCCACCGGCAAGTGGTGGCGTCTCCATATGAGTGAAAAATTCTCGAGAGGGACGTTAAACAATATACAATCAATCAATCAATCAACCAAACTTGGCACAAAGTATCCTTGGGTGAGAAGGATTCAAGTTTGTTCAAATGGAGGGCCGCACCCTTTTCCAAGGGGTTATAATTATGAATAGGAGAAAAATTAATGGCATTTGTAAAAAAAAAAAAAAACCTTCATCTCAAGAACCACTGAGCCAGGAAAGATGAAATTCATGTGGAATCATCCTCAGGTAGTGTAGATTCAAGTTTGTTCATATCATGACCCCTAAGGGGTAGGGTGGGGCCAAAATGGCCGATCAAAATTTAACATAGGAATATATAGGAAAACTTTTTAAAAATCTTCTTCTCAATAACCATTAAGGCAGGAAAGATAAAACTAATGTGAAATCGTCCTCAGGTAGTGTTGATTCAGTTTTGTTCAAATCATGATCCCCGGGGCTTGGGTGGGGCCATAATGACCGTTAAAAGTTTTATATAAGAATAAATAGGAAAAACCTTTAAAAATCATCTTCTCAAGAACCACTGGGCCAGGAAAGATGAAACTAATGTGGAATCATCCTCAGGTAGTGTAAATTCAGTTTTGTTCAAATCATGCCCCCCGGGAGGATGGTGGGGCCAAAATGGCCGTTAAAGGTTTTATATAGAAATATATATGAAAAATCTTCTTCTCAAGAACCATTGAGACAGGAGAGATAAAACACTTGTGAAATAATCATCAGGTAGTGTAGATTCAAATTCGTTCAAATAATGATCCCTGGGTTAAGGGTGGGGCCATAATGGCCGTTAAAAGTTTTATATACAATGTAGGAAAAAATCTTCTCAAGAACCACTAGGACAGGAAAGATGAAACTCATGTGGAATCATCCTCAGGTGTTGTAGATTCAAATTTGTTCAATTCATGACCCCCGGGGGTAGGGTGGGGCCAAAATGACCGATTAAAATTTTACATTGGTATATATAGAAAAAATCTTCTTCCCAAGAAACATTGAGACTGGAAAGATAAAACTCGTGTGAAATCATCCTTAGGTATTGTAGATTCAAATTTGTTCAAATCATGACCACCGGAGGTAGGATGGGGCCAGAATGGTCGATCAAAGTTTAACATAGGTATTTATAGGAAAAATCTTTAAAAATCTTCTACTCAAGAACTACTGGGCCAGGAAAGATGAAACTAATGTGGAATCCTCAGGTAGTGTAGATTCAGGTTTGTTTAAATCATGATCCTCTGGGGTAGGGTGCCTGGTCGATCAAAGTGTTTCATAAGAATATATAGGGAAATCTTTTAAAATCTCCTTTTAAAGTACTTCAAAGCCATGATTAGTGATATTTAATTTTTTATGGAATCATCCTCTGGTAGTGTAGATTCTAGTTTGTTCAAATCATGAATCCCTGGGGGGTTAAAATTTAAGCCCCCCTCCAACCTCAGTAAACTTTCATTTCTGATCTTATATTTGCTTTTTCCTAGCCGGTGTGCTCATGTGAGCGCTGTGGCCCCTGGGCCAATTGTTTTCTAATATTTTCTGTAAATCTACCGACGATAAATTTTTAAACGTTCTCGTCTCGGTCTTCCTGTAAGCAGCGCCAACATAATTATACGAATCTCTGCACAGTAAATGCTGTGTAACGAACCAAGGGACAAAACTCGTAAGTCTTTAGGTCTAGGCTTTTTTTCCATATCGTGTACCGTCACAATTAATTACATAGAGTATTATTATGTGAATTTGGTAAGGCCAAATAATCTAAAAAAAATAATAAGCGCTCATTATTTATAATGACAGGGTTATTATATCCCGCATGCAAAAATTCTTAGATCATTATTGCTGTAAACAATACTATTTGGATTCATTGATGAGTTTAAAAGCCTTTTAATAAACCAATCAAATTGCAGTATTATCAAAAGAGGTATAACAAAGTTGGTTGGACAAACTTCTAGGTCAAGGTTAAAATGTCAATATTCTTGGTATCTTAATAATGTCTAGTCACAATAAATACATCTGTGCAATATGAAAACAGTAGTATTAATGGTAAAAAGCTTATGGCTTTGGTTGAAGTATTTTAAAAGGAACCGGATTGTAAGGTCTTGATCACAATGTCAAAGACTTTGACACCCAATGATAGTTATTGTCATAGTTAATACACATATAAAGTTGAAAGCTGTAGCACAAACTAGTCAAAAGTTATGGCTATGGTTAAAGTTTGAAAATTGCTGGTAAACGTGGGTCAATATTCAAGGTCACGAGGTCACATTTGGTGATACCCAAAGAAAAGTGTTGACACGAGGAATACACCTGTGAGATATAAAAGCCACATTCCCATCCACTTTAAATTATGGGCAAGGTTATAGTTTATTGGATAGACGGACAAATATATAAACAGGCAAACAAACAGACAGACATACAAACGCACGAACAGGACAAAAACTATAATCATAGAATCTTTGATAAAAGGGGTTGTAACAAGTGTTTTGCAATTTTTTTACTGTATCAAAAAATAAGAAAATAAAAACTTTCTAATCAGTATTGTTTCAGCAAATTTTATTTCTGGGCGGTCCAGAAATTCCACCGATATCTCTATGGTAAGGAGTTTGTGTTGGAGACCGATTGTCATCCATTGGTGTACCTAAACAGAACTAAACTTGTAAATTCCAGACTTTTGAGGTGGGCAATAATTCATCATCCCTACAGATTTCATATTATTGCGAAAAGGGGAAAGGAAAACGTTGGAGCTGATTATTTGCGTCGACAGGAGTGAATCTGTGACAGTCAGTAATGAGTATACTATAAGAACATTGTTTTTATTATTTTATCTTTATGGAAAATTAAAAAAAATTGTATATAGGAAAGTTCTTTTTACTTCATACGTTAATTGTTGAACTGTAAAAGTACTTCGTACTTATTTAAATAGGAGAGGTGTGTCACAATTAACGTCCAAATATTGTTCCATACATTCTAACATACACGTTTTTCGCTATGTAAATGACTTATTTAAATGTCATAACTGTGTTCCATAATATTTTATCTGTTCAGTAGAATATACTTGGCGGGTTTAAATCCTGTGCTGTTATGTGGTCAGTTTGGGTGTTGCAATTGAGTAGAGAAGTACATCACTTGCACGAGCATTTTAGTAGTATACTTTTCTAAGTATATTCGACCAGACTTTACATCTCGTCTGAGAACCCATATTGGTCCAGGAAGCCATTCCACCCAAACAGCACACAGATCCAGAACTTTTAATTATGTCTTAGGCTAAATAAATGTGATAAATTTAAAGAACTAAGTCGTTGTATTCCTTTTGTGTGGCGACCAATCGGCCCGCCTGCGACAGTTATAAAAATTGAATTCCCTAATTATCTAATCGAAATGATATTCTGTTTTCATTGTTTCTGATTGTCATGCAGAGTTGTAAATAATAGATAACTAAAAAGAATTCGTACCAAAGCTCCTTTACATTTTTTTTAAATTCACATAAGATCATGTCAATAAAAAGTCATTTAATGGATTTTTTCCCAGTATCATGTAGGTAGAATGGATATAAAAATGTCTTCATACCGATTCTAGACATCGATTTTTTCCAGTCGTTATAACTGACACTTTCACGGGAAGCAATTAAATGTAATATATAAAAAATCGAAGTATTGTTCAATTGGAACTCTTTTGAACAGAGGTTAGGTAACTAGATGAAACGAGAGCGGATAATATATAATGCATTAAATATACCCAACTTTCTGATATCAACTGTTTATCGCTATATCATTAACTGGCGTCATACAAGAAGATAGCTAGCTCGAGCAAAGATGGCCGATCTGGCCTGTGTCTTATGCTTGCTAATTTTATTAGGAATACCTAAAAAGGCTATCGAAAACTTGACTTCAGGGTATTCTAAGTTAAACTATGGCTTTAGACTAGATAGGGGCATGATAGACTCCTATGTCGAGTACAGTATTCTAGAATGCGTCGGAGAATGTCTCCGTACAACTCGATGTGACTCACTGAATTATTACAAAGGAGCAAACTACTGTGAACTTAATTATGAAAACAAGACCAGTGTACCAGGGAAATTTGTAGAGAATGAAGGATGGATCTACAGCGAAAGACAGGACTGGGAGAAGGTAGGCATACTTTATATAGGGAACATTTATGATTTAGCTATTGGTAAGACTATAAAACACATTTCATTATCTTGTATAATTATAAGATATGTAGAGAAGATCATCTCACATATTGGTCATTTTTATGCCAACATTCGGAGATTTTTATGCCAACATTCGGAGATGAATTGTTTGTTTAGTGCTGTCCCTCCAATATTTAGTGCTTTTTGATGGAAATTGGTCTTTTGAACACGACATCTGCTTTGATTCAATATTTACGTAAATGTTTATAACCAGGTCTTCAAAATATTCTTATCAAATTTACTCAGTTCCATTGAAGGGTGTAGTCTTTCTCAAAAGACCTAGGAAAATCTATATTTCATCTTCGACACAGGAATACAGATTTGGATCCGTAACAGTGGTTAGAACGTCTGCTCAAGAGAAGCGAAGTAAGGAGTTGATCATTATGTTGCGGGTTCGAATCCCACTGTGAAACGTGGAGACAGGTCCTTTTGATTAAAACATATAAACCCTGGTCTCTTGTCCCACTAGGTGCTGGTACATAAAAAACCTTACTGCTCAATGGCCGTAAGTGCCCGTAATAGGACAAAATTTGCTATTTTCCACCGGTAAGTGGTGGCGTCTACATATGAATGAAAAAGAGGGACGTTAGACAACATACAAACAAACAAATCTACTGGCGACATAATTTAAATATTAAATTATATATTTTATTGAAGTTTATGTAGATTAAAATAATCCTATGAATTTTAGTTTCCGTAAAAAGCACAAAGTCTAGTAACAAACTATATTTGATTTTACATAATCAACTCATGTACAAAAAGGGACCCAACGCAATTATCGAAAGAAAGAGATGTCTCAGTACTTCGTTTTCTGTATAGTTCCGGAAAGACTTCAATACTGGTGAAAATGTGCGATTTTTATCTTGTTTAAGTGATCGACCAAACGTACTTCGACTCGCAGGATTCGATTTCGAGTAAATACATGTATAACCCAACTCAAACGCTAGTTGAATGAATGAGGTTTCAGTTTTTAGCTCACCTGAGCCGAAGGCTCCAGTGAGCTTTTCTGATCACATTTTATCCGGCGTCCGTCTGTCTGTCCGTCTGTCTGTAAACTTTTCACATTTTCGACTTCTTCTCAAGAACCACTAGGCCAATTTCAACCAAACTTGGCACAAAGTATCCTTGGGTAAAGGGGATTCAACTTTGTTCAAATGAAGGGCCACGCCCTTTTCCAAGGGGAGATAATCATGAATTTGTTAAAAATTAATGGCATTTTTAAAAAATCTCCAGAACCGCTGGGCCAGGAAAGATGAAACTCATGTGGAAGCATCCTTATGTAGTGTAGATTCAAGTTTGTTCAAATCATGACCTCCGGGGCAAGGGTGGGGCCAAAATGGCCGACCAAAGTTTTACATAGGAATATATAGGAAAAATCTTTAAAAATCTTCTTCTCCAGAACCACTGTGCCAGGAAAGATGAAACTCATGTGGAATCATCCTTAGGCAGTGTAGATTCAAGTTTGTTCAAATCATGACCCCCGGGGCAAGGGTGGGGCCAAATGGCCGACCAAAGTTTTACATAGGAATATATAGGAAAAATCTTTAAAAATCTTCTTCTCCAAAACCACTGGGCCAGGAAAGATAAAGCTCATGTGGAAGCATCCTCAGGTAGTGTAGATTCAAGTTTGTTCAAATCATGACCCCCGGGGCAAGGGTGGGGCCAAAATGGCCGACCCAAGTTTTACATAGGAATATATAGGAAAAATCTTTAAAAATCTTCTTCAGAACCACTGGGCCAGGAAAGATGAAACTCATGTGGAATCATCCTCAGGTTGTGTAGATTCAAGTTTGTTCAAATCATGACCCCCGGGGCAAGGGTGGGGCCAAAATGGCCGACCAAAGTTTTACATAGGAATATGTAGGAAAAATCTTTAAAAACCTTCTTCTCCAGAACCACTGGGCCAGGAAAGATGAAACTCATGTGGAATCATCCTCAGGTAGTGTAGATTCAAGTTTGTTCAAATCATGACCCCCGGGGCAAGGGTGGGGCTAAAATGGCCGACCAAAGTTTATATATAGGAAAAATCTTTAAAAATCTTCTTCTCCAGAACCAATGGGCCAGGAAAGATGAAACTCATGTGGAATCATCCTCAGGTAGTGTAGATTCAAGTTTGTTCAAATCATGACCCCCGGGGCAAGGATGGGGCCAAAATGGCCGACCCTAGTTTTACGTAGGAATATATAAGAAAAAATATTTAAAAATCTTCTTTTCAAGAACCACCAGGACAGGAAAGATGAAACTCAGGTGGAATCATCTTTAGGTAGTGTAGATTCAATTTTGTTCAAATCATGGCCCTCAGGGCAAGGGTGGGGCCAAAATAGCCAACCCAAGTTTTACATAAGAATATATAAGAAAAATCTTTAAAAATCTTTTTCTCAAGAACCACGGCCAGGAAAGATGAACCTCATGTGGAATCATCCTCAGGTAGTGTTGATTCAAGTTTGTTCAAATCATGACCCCCGGGGCAAGGGTGGGGCCAAAATAGCCGACCCAAGTTTTACATAGGAATATATAGGGTAAAGCTTGTAAAATCTTTTTCTCAAGAACCACTGGGCCAGGAAAGATGAAACTCAAGTGGAATCATCCTCAGATACAGTAGATTCAAGTTTGTACAAATCATGACCCCCGGGGAGAGGGTGGGGCCAAAATGGCCGACCAAAGTTTTACATAGGAATATATAGGAAATATCTTTAAAAGTCTTTCTCAAGAACCACTGGGCCAGGAAAGATGAAACTCAAGTGGAATCATCCTCAGGTAGTGTAGATTCAAGTTTGTACAAATCATGACCCCCGGGGAGAGGGTGGGGCCAAAATGGCCGACCAAAGTTTTACATAGGAATATATAGGAAATATCTTTAAAAGTCTTTCTTAAGAACCACTGGGCCAGGAAAGATGAAACTCATGTGGAAGCATCCTTATGTAGTGTAGATTCAAGTTTGTTCAAATCATGACCCCCGGGGCAAGGGTGGGGCCAAAATGGCCGACCAAAGTTTTACATAGGAATATATAGGAAAATTCTTTAAAAATCTTCTTCTCCAGAACCACTGTGCCAGGAAAGATGAAACTCAAGTGGAATCATCCTCAGGTAGTGTAGATTCAAGTTTGTTCAAATCATGACCCCCGGGGCAAGGGTGGGGCCAAATGGCCGACCAAAGTTTTACATAGGAATATATAGGAAAAATCTTTAAAAATCTTCTTCTCCAAAACCACTGGGCCAGGAAAGATAAAACTCATGTGGAAGCATCCTCAGGTAGTGTAGACTCAAGTTTGTTCAAATCATGACCCCCGGGGCAAGGATGGGGCCAAAATGGCCGACCCTAGTTTTACATAGGAATATATAAGAAAAATATTTAAAAATCTTCTTCAGAACCACTGGGCCAGGAAAGATGAAACTCATGTGGAATCATCCTCAGGTTGTGTAGATTCAAGTTTGTTCAAATCATGACCCCCGGGGCAAGGGTGGGGCCAAAATGGCCGACCAAAGTTTTACATAGGAATATATAGGAAAAATCTTTAAAAACCTTCTTCTCCAGAACCACTGTGCCAGGAAAGATGAAACTCATGTGGAATCATCCTCAGGTAGTGTAGATTCAAGTTTGTTCAAATCATGACCCCCGGGGCAAGGGTGGGGCTAAAATGGCCGACCAAAGTTTATATATAGGAAAAATCTTTAAAAATCTTCTTCTCCAGAACCACTGGGCCAGGAAATTTGAAACTCATGTGGAATCATCCTCAGGTAGTGTAGATTCAAGTTTGTTCAAATCATGACCCCCGGGGCAAGGGTGGGGCCAAAATGGCCGACCCTAGTTTTACGTAGGAATATATAAGAAAAAATCTTTAAAAATCTTCTTTTCAAGAACCCCCAGGACAGGAAAGATGAAACTCAGGTGGAATCATCTTTAGGTAGTGTAGATACAATTTTGTTCAAATCATGGCCCTCAGGGCAAGGGTGGGGCCAAAATAGCCAACCCAAGTTTTACATAAGTATATATAAGAAAAATCTTTAAAAATCTTTTTCTCAAGAACCACTGGGCCAGGAAAGATGAACCTCATGTGGAATCATCCTCAGGTAGTGTTAATTCAAGTTTCTTCAAATCATGACCCCCGGGGCAAGGGTGGGGCCAAAATAGCCGACCCAAGTTTTACATAGGAATATATAGGGTAAAGCTTGTAAAATCTTTTTCTCAAGAACCACTGGGCCAGGAAAGATGAAACTCAAGTGGAATCATCCTCAGATAGTGTAAATTCAAGTTTGTACAAATCATGACCCCCGGGGAGAGGGTGGGGCCAAAATGGCCGACCAAAGTTTTACATAGGAATATATAGGAAATATCTTTAAAAGTCTTTCTCAAGAACCACTGGGCCAGGAAAGATGAAACTCAAGTGGAATCATCCTCAGGTAGTGTAGATTCAAGTTTGTACAAATCATGACCCCCGGGGAGAGGGTGGGGCCAGAATGGCCGACCAAAGTTTTACATAGGAATATATAGGAAATATCTTTAAAAGTCTTTCTCAAGAACCACTGGGCCAGGAAAGATGAAACTCATGTGGAAGCATCCTCAGGTAGTGTAGATTCAAGTTTGTTCAAATCATGACCCCGGGGCAAGATGGGGCCAAAATGGCCGACCCCAGTTTTACATAGGGATATATAGGGAAATCTTTTAAAATCTTCTTTTCAAGTACTTCAAAGCTATGATTAGTGATATTTTTATGGAATCTTCCTCAGGTAGTGTAGATTCTAGTTTTATCAATTGCAAATGATGAACGCCTGGAGGGGGGGGGGGTAAATTCAAGCCCGATGTGCTCAGGTGAGCGCTGTGGCCCCTGGGCCTCTTGTTTAACGAACATTTATCAACTTATCGCTGCTGTGCGTGTGCTGTGCTTTGTAATTTAAGCACTTGAAGTTTGTTCGGTTTTTGGTCAGCATTCAAACATT